GCAATGGATGAGTGTACCCCTTTCTCCACAACCTCTCCAACAAAGGCTATCATTGGTGTTTTTGATTTTCGCCATTCTGACAGGTGTAAGATGGTATCTTAAAGTTGTCTTGATTTGCATTTCCCTGATCGCTAAGGAAGTTGAGCATGACCTTAAGTGTCTTTTGGCCATTTGAAGTTCTTCTGTTGAGAATTCTCTGTTCAGCTCAATGCCCCATTTTATAATTGGGTTGGTTAGCCTTTTACGGTCTAGTTTCTTGAGTTCTTTATATATTTTGGAGATCAGACCTTTGTCAGTTGCGTGGTTGGTGAAGATCTTCTCCCAGTTAGTGGGTTGCCTTTGTGTCTTAGCGACAGTGTCCTTTGCTTTACAGAAGCTTCTCAGTCTCAGGAGGTCCCATTTATTCAATGAGGTCCTTAATGTCTGTGCTGCTGGGGTTAAAATTCATTTATTAATACATCTTCCATTCGTAGACTTTTCCTGCACCCTGCTCTTCAGTTTATTACTGAGGATCACAAGAAGCTAACAAGCACATAAAAATACACGCAGCCGCCTCAGTCATTAGAGAGATGCAAATGAAAATCACAATGAGAAGCGTTCCTGGGGGGGGTGGGGTGGGGGGGGGGCGCACAATAGCAGCAAAATGGAAAACCAGCAATTTTCCATTGTAGGTCTGAGGAAAAACCAGACTCTTCTCAGCTTGGCTGTGGGAAGCTAAAAATGTAGCTTCTGTGGAAAACAGTTGACAGTTTTCCCCCCAAAAGTTAAGCATAGCAGGGCTGGAGACTGCTCGGTGGTTAGGGGAATTTTGTCACTCTGCGGAAGACCCAATTTTGGTGCTCAGCACCCACAAAGAGCTTCATAACTTTGCCAAACTCTAGTTCCAGGATATCCAGCTCGCTCTTCTGGCCTCCATGGGCAACATACATGTGATATACATATGTACATGAGGGCAAACATACACATAAAATAAATAAGAATGAGAAAGTAAATCTTGGGTCTGGCAGGGTGGCTCAGTAGGTAAAGGCACTTACCATCAGGCTCTGGGATGGACTTAGGTGGTGGAAGGAGGGGCCCAGATCCTATGGATTGGCTTCTGATCTTCACTCGTGTGCTGTGGCATACAGACCCTTCAGAAAGAAGTAAATATCATAAAGGAAGTTTTAAAGGAACGTAAATTTTATGTTGTGTGGATTTCACCTTAATAAAAAGTTTACTAGATTACAAAAGGGGTTCACTAAATAAGATAGCCAGAAGATGGGAGAGAAGGGCTTTGGGAGCTACAACCGTGGAGACCTGACAGGAGACTGGCCAAGGGAAATGGTGGATAGATTCCCAAAAGTGGTTGCGGCAACGGGACTTGTTGAACACATGCATCTTAGGGTTTCTGAGGCTGTAAGGGGACACCATGACCATGGCAACTCTTCTAAAGGAAAACATTTAACCTGGCCGGGCTTACAGTTTCAGAGGTTTAGTCCATTATCATCATGGCGGCACGCAGGCGGATACAGTGCTGGAGAAGGAGCTGAGAGTTCCACATCTTGATCCACAGGCAACAGAAGCAATTCTGGATCGCATTGGACAGAGCTGGAGCTTAGGAGACCTCAAAGTCCACCCCAACAAGGCCACCCCTCCTAATAGTGTCAGTCTCTATAAAGGTCATTTTCTTTTTGAGGGGAGGTGGTTTCAAGGCAGGATCTCTCTGTGTAGCCCTGCTGTCCTGGAACTCTGTAGACCAGGCTGGCCTTGAATTCAGAGATCAGCCTGCTTCTGCTTCCTGAGTGATGGGATTAAAGATGTCTGCCACCACATCCCGGCTGCCATTTTCTTGCAAACCACCCTGTCGAAACATTTAAATTTTAGATTTATTTATTTTATTATTTTATGTGCATGAGTGTTTTGCCTGCATGTGTGTCTGTGCCCCACAGGCACGTCTGGTGCTGGAGGAGATCAGAACAGCGCTGGATCCCTTGGACTGGTGTTGCAGTGGGTTGTGAGCCTCCATGTGATGCTGGGAATTGAACCCAGGTCCTTTGAAAGAGCAGCCAGTGCTCTTAACCACTAAGCTACCTCTCCAGACCCGAATTTCCACTTTAAGCAGCTGGCGGGAAATGATGTTCCGTGACACATGGGGATACCAAGTCCTAGAAGCAAGAGCTTCTTCCATGACTGAACTGCAACTGTCTGGGTATTTCTAAGAAAATAAGTGGACCAAATACCCGCCCCCCATTTAAAAACTATGTTTTATATGCTTATTGGAAGGGGTCAGGCATGCCATAGTATGACTCCCAAGAGTTGCTTCTATCCCTCCACCATATGGATCCTAGGAATTGAACTTAGGTTATCAACTTGGTGACAAGCACCTTTACTCACTGAGACATCTGGCCAGTCTACCTTACAGTGTTTTTAAGAGATTTCAAATGAGGGGGCTGGAGAGATGGCTCAGTGGTTAAGAGCATTGCCTGCTCTTCCAAAGGTCATGAGTTCAATTCCCAGCAACCACATGGTGGCTCACAACCATCTGTAATGAGGTCTGCTCTGCTGCCCTCTTCTGGTCTACAAACACACAGAGACAGAATATTGCATACAAAATAAATAAATAAATATTTAAAAAAAAAAAGAAACACCTTTAAAAAAAAAGAGAGATTTCAAATGAAAGACTCAAAGGTGTTGCTAACCTGCGTCTGGAACTCCATACACACTCTCAACCCTCTGGTTATGATGGCAGCTCTGCCTGTGGCATGGCTCTGCCCAGGGCTACTTTCTCCTGTCCCTGGAAGGATCACTAAGTTTATTTCCTAAAATCTGGTCTCCTCTGCCTCCTTGGAGGCTGAGAAACCTCTTCACATCTTCATCTCTTCTCAGGTCTTTCTGCTTCATGTCTATCGTGACAACTGTAGACTGTCCAGTCCACTGTGTTTCTTTCTCTCCACACTTTTTTTTTTGATTTTAGAGGCAGGGTTTTTCTGTAGCTTTTTTTTTTTTTTTTTTTTTTGGTTCCTGTCCTGGAACTAGCTCTTCTAGACCAGGCTGGCCTCGAACTCACAGAGATCCGCCTGCCTCTGCCTCCCGAGTGCTGGGATTAAAGGCGTGCGCCACCACCGCCTGGCGTCTCTCCACACTTCTTAAAAAGAAATATATACGTGTGTGCGTGTGTGTGTGTGTGTGTGTGTGTGTGATGTGGTATTCTCCTCTGTATGCTGTGAATATCATTGGCTAATGAAGAAACTGTCCTAGTCTGTACAGGGCAGAATAGACGTAGACAGGGAAAACTAAACTGAATGCTGGGAGAAAAGAAGGCAGAGTCTGGAGAAGCCATGTAGCCCCTCAGGAGACAGATGCCAGAACTTTACCTGGTAAGCCACAGACATGTGGTGATACACAGATTAATAGTGATTGATTGAAAGTGTAACCCCAGCCCCTGGCATTCATCCTTGGGGCGCCAATGGAGTGCCAGCGGACCAGAAAACTCCATCTCAGGCCCCTTCCTCCTGGGAGTTGCCTTGCTCCGGAGTCCACCTCTGGAAAAGTACACCAAGTGCTGACCCCTCCTTAGGGAGGGTCAGGACCACGCCCACAGGCTATTTAGGCTGCTACCGAGAAAAAGAACACGTGGTCTTTGGATTTTGTGTGCCCCCCCTCTCTACCTGCCTTGCTTCCCAGACCACCCAGGAGTACTGCAGTAAATATGGGCACTCATTCGGTCTAATTTGGTCTGATTGGAATTATTTGTGTTGGCAGAGAGGCTCATCTTAAGAATATTCCTCACAAATAGAAATAGGTTAAATTAAGATGTAAGAGTTAGCCAATAAGAAGCTAGAGCTAATGGGCCAAGTAGTAATTTAATTAATACAGTTTCTGTGTGGTTATTTCAGGACTGAGCAGCTGGGAACCAACAAGTAGACTCCTATAACATATGTAAAAGAACAAAATATGTATGTTTTTGAGATAGGGTTTCTCTGTATAGCTCTGGCTGTCCTGGAACTTGCTCTGTAAATCAGGCTGGCCTTGAACTCAAGGAGGTCCACCTGCCTCCCGAGTCCTGGGATTAAAGGTGTGAGCCACCATTGTCTGGCTCAAGTGTATATATTTTAAAGAAGCACAACAACTCAGAAACAGCTCTTTGATAGGTGCCATTGGCATGACTCGTGTGCGTGTGTGTGCACAGGACTTAATTATATTTTAATTTGTTTATGTCAGTGTTTTTCTTTTTTTTTTTTTTTTTTAATATTTATTTATTATGTGTACAATGTTCTGTGTCTATGCCTGCAGGCCAGAAGAGGGCACCAGACCTCATTACAGATGGTTGTGAGCCACCATGTGGTTGCTGGGAATTGAACTCAGGACCTTTGGAAGAGCAGGCAATGCTCTTAACCACTGAGCCATCTCTCCAGCCCCCGTCAGTGTTTTTCTTGTATGTATGTTTGTGCACCACATACATACAGAGGTCAGAAGGGGGTGACAGATCCCCTCGAACTGGAGTTATGGACAGTTGTAAGCCATCATATGGGTGTTGGAATTTGAACCTGGGTCCTTTGTAAGAGCAGCCAGTGTTCTTAACTGCTAAGTCATCTTTCCAGCACGCTCCACACTTCTTCTTCTTCTTCTTCTTTTTCTTCTTCTTCTTCTTCTTCTTCTTCTTCTTCTTCTCCTTCTCCTTCTCCTTCTCCTTCTCCTTCTCCTCTCCTTCTTCTTCTTCTTCTAATTTATTTTTTTCTGTGCATGGGTGTTTTGCCTACATGTATGTCTGTGTGAGGGTGCCGCATCCCCTGGAACTGGAATTACAGACAGTTGTGAGCTGCCGTGTGGGTGCTGGGAATTGAACCTGGGTACCCTGGAAGAGCAGCCAATGCTCTTAACTTCTGAGAAATCTCTCCAGCACCCTCCACACTTATTCTTAAAGGGCTTTGTGATGCCCTAGAGTTTTCTCATGATTTCTTCGGAATCTGCCCTTCCTCACCTCATGATTTGGTGGCCTCACTTGATTGCTGTCTTTGCAGGAGACTCCCCTCCCACAGAGAGCAGGTTTGTGAACAGCTGTATCCACGCCAGAAAGAAGTGCCAGGCTGATCCTGCTTGCAAGGCTGCCTTCCATCAGCTGGAGTCGTGCACCTCTAGTGCAGGCACTGCACTGGCCCTAGAGGAGTCTACCATGTCTGCAGACTGCCTCCAGGCGACGCAACAGCTTAGGAACAGCTCTCTGATGGGCTGCACGTGCCGCCTGCGCATGAAGCACCAAGCTACCTGTTTGAAAATTTACTGGACGGTTCACCCTGCCCGAAGCCTTGGTAAGACGCTCTCCTAGAGTGGGCTAAGCTGTAGGTGGATTTGAGGAAGTTATTTCTCAGTGGTGTGAGATAGACCGTGTGACTGATTTGGTGGGGACAAATGAAGCTCTGCGAGTGGTATCTGGAAGAGATGCAGGGAAAATTTGGCATTATCTTCTTGGGTCCTTAAAACTTTGCCCTCCCCTCTAACTATTTCTTTCTTTCTTTTTTTTTTTTTTTTTGAGACAGGGTTTCTCTGTGGCTTTGGAACCTGTCCTGGAACTAGCTCTGTAGACCAGGCTGGTCTCGAACTCACAGAGATCCGCCTGCCTCTGCCTCCCGAGTGCTGGGATTAAAGGCGTGCGCCACCATCGCCTGGCCCCTCTACCTATTTCTACATTTCTTTTTTCTTTTTCTTTTTTTAAAATTTAACCTTCTCATTTTAATTGTTTGGATTGGAATGTGCTATACATTTTTTCTCACTCCCCTTTTCTCCTCCCCTCTCCCCTCCCACCCTCCCCCTGTTCACAGAGTTTGCTCCAGAACAGTCAGGGCTATACAGGGAAACCCTGTCTCAACAAACAAACAAACAAAATTTCTTTATTCATGTGTGTAGATCTATGTTTGTATGTGTGTCAGGGTGCACGTGAGTTCTGGAGTAGCTTCTCTTCTTCTGGGAACCAAACTCGGGTTGTCAGACTTGGGGGCAAGCCCTTTAACTGCTGAGCCATCTTGCTGGCCCCTTACATCCACTTTTCTTCCCTGTATCCTCCTCTTCACAAAGCTCTAAGCTGGAAGATCCCAGCCTGAGGAGTTCCTGAAATAGGATGTTGAGAGAAAATGAGGAAAGGAAAGGGATCTTAACTCAGAACATGTTTAGGACACCACAGGGCCTGCTGATTCAGAAAGAGTAGCTTGTGACAGAAAGGTTTTTCTTAATCACACAAGAGGCAGCAAGAGAGAAGGCACAGAGAGAGCCAAGCAGGTTTACACCTGTCTCTTGCCATAGGCCCATCTTTACTAGTCATCATTGTTAGGAATATTTTCCTAACGCGAGCTCTCCACTCATGCAAAATCCCAATCAAGCCAAATCAAAACAAGCCAAATTAAGAAATATCCAGGTTTAATGGGAGTTTCTGCACTCTCGGGTGACCCTGAGACCACAAGGAGGAAGGAAAAGAGACCACGTGTTCCTCTTTTGGGAGTTCACTTAAATATTCTGTGGGAGTTGTCCTGACCCCCTTTCTGGCCTGCTGGGATTTGGAGTCCAGAGTGCTAACTCTCAGGGTCAGCTAGGATAGATGCAAGGGGCTGGAGCCTAAGCTCCCAACTTAACAGTCATCTTTGTAACTAACTAACTAACTAACTAATTTGGGGTTTTTTGAGACGGATTTCTCTGTGTAGCCCTGGCTGTCCCAGAACTCGCTCTATAGACCAGGCTGGCCTCGAACTCAGATATCTACCTGCCTCTGCCTCCCAAGTGTTGGGACTATGTTGTGGTAACGAAGAAGAGGAAGAAGAGATCCATAGGTGAGCATGGAGGCTTGTAATCCCAGCACACGAGGGACTGAGGTATGAGGATCCCCAAAATTCAAGAATAGCCTAGGCTAGTGAGACCCTGTCTCAAACAACAAAACAAAACAAAAACCCAAAACAAACAAAAAAAGATCAAAGGGGGCTGGGGAGGTAACTCAGTCAGCCTTGCAAACATAAGAGACCTAAGTTTGAGCTCAGAACACACATTAAAACAAAGCAAATGGGCATGTGACATTTGTAATCCCAGGGCCGGGGAGCAGACAGGCAGATTCCTGGGGTGTAGACCAGACAGCTGAGCCTGCTCAGTGAGTCCCGGGCCAGTCAGAGGCCTCATCCCTAAAACAAAGAGACAAAGTGGGGGCAGTGTGAGGAGGGGGCTGCAGATTGTTCTGGTGGTTAAGAGCACTGGCTGCTCTTCCAGAGGACCAGGGTTCAATTCCTAGCACCCAGGAGGCCACTCATGACTGTCTGTAGCCCCAGTCCAGGGGATCTGACACCCTCTTCTGGCACTTGGACATTTTCAGGTTTTGCCCAGTGGTCTTACTCTGAAGCACAGAATGGCCTCAGACGTGTGCCCTCAACCTTTGACAGCAGAGAACACAGGCCTATGTCCCAGCTCATGGAATTTTCTCTGCTGGCTCTGGATCTGGCTCCTCTTGATCTAGAAACCCATAAATTGAAAAGACAAGGCATCCGCCTTCCGTATTCTCAGTGCACGGTAAAGAACGGAATCAAGACACAACGCTCAGAAAGGGGAGGCTGGGAGGCATAGGGCACAGTGGCTCACAGCGGATGTCCAAAGACCGTCCTCCCTAAGAGGAAGGGTGTTCCCTTTGTTTTAGGGGTGCAGTGGAATGTCCCCTGTTCTGTAGGACTCTTGGCCCAGGCCTCTGCCAGCCTCTTGCTTTTCTATTACTCTCTTTGGCTGTGTTTGAAATGGGCGTCGGAGACTGAGCCTCCTTGGGGACGGAACAGTATTCTCAGCCTGCTTCCTGCTTGACGGAGGTCGGGGATTTTAAGTCTCATAATCTTTTAATATGGGCTGGTAGCTCTTGGCTGTACAACGCACAATTGCTTTTTATATCTTTGATTTCTGTCATCTCATGAGCCTAGTAGCCTTTCCCACAAAGACATGTGCTTCCTTGTAGCCCTAATTAAAAGTCCCTTGCCCTTGTTTTTCCTCCGGAGTGTATTTGTCCATCTGGCAGGATTTATTCCTTACCCCCTCATCAATCGTGAGATCCCAGCAATCACCAGGGTACCCATGTGTTTGATTTGCTTTCCTTCTCGTTGAGTTCTGATCAACTTCATAAGTCAGAACCCTTTCCAGCCTTATCTTCTGTGTCCAAATAGGAGAGAAAGTTGCTTCTCTTAATCCTGTAACCCTAAAATTCTGATCTCTTTTTTTATTTATTCTTAATTTATATACATTGGTGTTTTGTCATGGATGTTGGATCCCCTGGAACTGGAGTTACAAACAGCTTAGCTGCCAAGGAATTGAACCCAAGTCCTCTGGAAGAGCAGTCAATACTCTTAACCACTAGGACATCTCTCCAGTCTTGTCTTTTGTTTTTTTGAGACAGGGTTTCCTTGTGTAGCTTTGGTCACTTTGTAGACCAGGCTAGCCTCAAACTCAGAGACCCATCTGCTTCTCTGATGTCTTGAAAATCAAAACTTTTGCTAGGTTAAACCGCAGTTACAACAAGCCCTCTTCCAGACCACTGCTTTCATTTATTTATTTATTTATTTATTTATTTATTTATTTATTGGGGGTGTCTTGAGACAAGGTTTATCTGTGTAACAGTCCTAACTGTTCTAGAACCAGCTCTTGTAGACCAGGCTAGCCTCAAACTCACAGAGATCCTCCTGCCTCTGCCTCCCAAGTCCTGAGATTGAAGATGTGCCCCACCACCGCCCGGCTCAAACCTCTGCTTTTAAAAAGAAAACTGTCTTTCTTGCTCATGTTTTACACCTGACGCCAGCTTCCGTCAGTTGACTTTGCTCTGCCTTCCGTCCTCATGGAACAACCCTGGCTGGTAGAGAAAGGAGGGGCAGCAGAACCATGCGATGGGTCTAAAATGTCTGCTCAGATATGGCTTACAACATTACAGCCTAAACTCCACAGGCTGAAGCGAGCCACATGGCCAAGCCTGACACCAGTGGGCTGACTGTGTGTGTTCCTCTCACAGGGGACAGGGAAGCCCCACTTCCTGCTTTCTGCTCCTCATCCTAATGGTTTCTCAGTGCACGGTAATCTTCCTCAGAGACCTCTTCCGGGACTCTCCCACTTCCTGCTTCTCTTCAGGAGGTCCCAGGTCTTCCTTTCTTAAAGCCTGTCCTCACAGTTTTTCTCACAGCTATGCTCCTGCAGTCTTCAAGATGCTTTTACAGAGGCCTGTTGGGTGACACCAGCAGCTCACCTCTTTCTTCCAATAGGAAGGTCTAGAGACAGGGTCTCGTGAACCCAGGCTGGCTTCTAAGCAGCCAAGGATGGCCATGAACTCTTATTCTGCCTACTCTCCTTCCCAAATGATGGTGTTACATAGGAGTCTCTATGCCCAATCTGTTGTTGGCACTGGGGTTGAGCCCAGAGTTTTGTACATGCCAGGCAGGCACTCTAACACTGAGCTGCATCACAGCCCCCAACACTTATTAACGGCATTTATTGAGCGCCCACCATGCTTATAACCTGGCACGTGCCCTTCAGGAGTCCGTAGCCCCACAGGAGGACGGGGAGGGAGGTGCTGGCTGTGGGGCCACTGTGTCTTTCCTTCCTCTGGTTTTCTCAGTTTGGTCCAGCTCCGGACCTGGCCTCACTTCCATTTCTATGCTGTCTCTATAGCCAGTGGTCAAGCCCAGAACACAACCCGTTTCCGTCCCTTCCCTGATGGCAAGGGACAGCAAGAAAACATCTCCTTGCTCATTTGTGCACCCACAGGCGAGGTCTATTCTTAGGAGCAGAAACTCTAGAACCAGTGTGGGTTTTATATCCCACCCCACCTCTTTATTTGAGACAAGGTCTCACTATGTAACTCTGACTGGCATGAAACTCGCTACACACACACACACACACACACACACACACACACACACACCAGGCTGGCCTCTAATTCAGAGAGAGCTGCTTGCCTTGTCCCAGAGCACTGCGAGGAAAGGCATACACTGCAGTGCCTCGCCCAGGTCCCCTTCTTATTAAGCCCGTGTGAATCCAAACAAGTCACTTACCCTCTCATTCTCAATTTCTTCTTACCTACTCAGACTTCCAGAAGGGATGAAACGAGCTGTGTGTGTGTCTGTGTGTGTGTGTGTCTGTGTGTGTGTGTGTCTGTATGTCTGTGTGTCTGTGTGTGTGCGCACATGCATGTGCCTGGGATCCAATGTGTTTAACAAATGATAGCTCTTAATTATTTTCATATATTTATTCATCGGGCCTAACCTGTGCCTTCATGGCTCTGAATTATTCTCCTTTCTGTGCAGCCGTAGCTCCCTAGGTACAAGACCTTGTCTTGTCTTTTGCTGTACAGAGCCTTGCTGCCTGGCCCAGCAACTTCAGCCCTCCCCGCTCCCCTTTACAAGTCCTTGTTTTTGGTGGTCGCATACTCTCCATTCTCTCTAGGTGACTACGAGTTGGATGTCTCCCCCTATGAAGACACAGTGACCAGCAAACCCTGGAAAGTGAATCTCAGCAAGCTGAGCATGCTCAAACCAGGTGTGGAGGACAAGCCCTAGGATGCAGAAAGGGAGGCTGGGCTTGGGCTCTGAGGGGAGCATAAACTGGGGGTGCTTTGGGGAAGAGTTTCTGCCTGCTGTGTCAGGATGGAAGTCTGAGCTCTGGTGCACGGTCTGTGTTCCCAGGAGTCATTAAAAAGCCACAGTTACTAGGGAAACCTCCAGAGCCCATTAGGGCTACTGGTCCTCAGGAAGGGTGTGTGGGAGCAGCAGCAGAGCAGAAAACACACTGAAATGGAGTATTTACCCACATTTAAGGTGGCCAGGAAAGTAGTTTTTTTCAGAAGTCCCTAAGGACTAGGAAATTGCTTGTTATCAACCGTTCTAATGGGGTGGGTGAGAAGTTGGGCAAGAGAAAGTAGCAAGCATCTCATTCCCACAGGGGTCACTCAGGGTGGGAGCTATCAGTCTGGTGAGGGCTGGAGTGCACGTTTTTCCTCCAGGCCTGTGAGGCTGTGAACTGATTGAGAAAGAAGACAAATGCACAGGGGGAGTGAGGGGGTGTAGCACAGCCTTAATCCAAGCTCTGGAGAAGTAGAGGATAGACTGTCAGGAGTTTAAGGTCATCCTCAGCTACAGAGTAACTTCTGGGCCAGACTGGGCTACCTAGCTAAAAAACAAAACAAACAAACAAAACAACAAAAAAGAATACATTCAGGCAGTAGTTTTTAAGACACAAATAAAATTTATTGTATAGTTGGTTCTGTATTTTTAAAATTAGAATTTTTCTTGTTTTTGAGACAGGGTCTTACTACGTAGCCCAGACAGGCCTTGAAGTCTTGCTATTTATTCTTCTGCTTCCAAGTGCTAGAATTATATGAGTGCACTGCCATGCCTGGAAGAATTACTATATATATAGTAATATATATGTATATCTATATATCTATATAGATATATAGATATATATTGTTTTGTTTTGTTTTGAGTCCTGGCTGGCCTGGAACTCACTATACAAATCAGACTGGCCTCAAGCTCCTAGAAATTCACCTGCCTGTGTCTCCTGAGTACTGGAATTATAGACATGTGCTATCACATCCCTCTTAAGAATTAGAATTTTTATTGAGTTTTATATTATAGTCAACTGTATATATCTTAGAACTGGAGTTTTGAAGAGAAAACACAGATTTCTACATAACAGACCCATTAGGAGGAATCAGTAAACAACCTGTGAAAAATCACAGCCTGCTGGAATATTCTGGGCTGTTTGTTGGAATATTCTGTTACTAGAAATATCATAGGGGTGTGAGGCTGTAGCTCAGTGGTGTGTAGACGGCATGCAATGAAGTCTAACCCCACAGCTCCATACATTAAAATATCATTCTAGCTGGGTGGTGGTGGCGCACACCTTTAATCCCAGCTCAGGAGGCAGAGGCAGGTGGATCTCTGTGAGTTCAACACTAGCCTGGTTTCCAGAGCAAGTTCCAGAATAGCCAAGGCTACACAGAGAAACCCTGGTTCATGAAACAACAACACCACACACACACATAGTGTTGTTATAATATATATATCATTATATATATTATATATCATTATATATATTATATGTTATAATATATATATATCATTCTAATTTTCAAAGTTTCAGAATATGGGAGAATTTTTATATGTGAATCAGTAAATGAAAGATGGGCAAGTAACATAACACTGAATAGAATAAACGAAAGATGGACGTGGTAGTTCATAGCTGTAACCTCAGCCCTGGGGAGGTAGAGTAAGAAGAGGATCAGAAGTTCAAGGGCATCCTTGCTAGACAGTGTGCTCAAGGTCAGTCTGGGCTCTGAGAGTCCCTCTCTCAAAAACAGGACAGATGAGATGGCTCAGTGAGTGAGGGCTCTTGCTGCCAAGCCTGGCCACCTGGGACCCATGTGGTGTCGGAAGAGAACCAGCTCCCTCAAGCTGTCCTCCAGCTTCCATGCATGCTCCCTAGCAACACACACACACAATTTTAAAAAAGGAAAGAAAAGATATCCCCTCCACGAAAACTAAAAAAACCCTGAACAGAGTAGAAAAGCCTCCAGTCAAACCTAAGCAGAATTTGGTCGCATCTTCTTAACAGTTGGGAAGTTCTCTGGGGATTGCAGAGCTTCTGATTGGTGATCCCCACCACCAGGCCTCACTGCAGGGTCAAGGAGCCCCTTTTGTTTACCGAGCTGTCTCCTGCTCCTATGCTGGATAAATGAGTGGGTGTTAGATGTGCGTGGATGTCGGTGGTGATGACGATAATGGTTATGACGATGATGACGGCTAGGATGATTTTACCTGACCATATGAGGGCAGGGAAGGAGAGAAGTGAGAGAAGTGTTAGGAGTGGATTAGTTCAGGACAGTCCTTCCTTTCTGCCACCTCAACATCCTGTCACCTCAGGCGTTTCCTGGACTTCCTAGTGAGACCTTGCCTTGGTGACTTGGTGCTACTCTCCCCACAGACTCGGACCTCTGCCTCAAATTTGCTATGATCTGTACTCTTAACGACAAATGTGACCGCCTGCGCAAGGCCTACGCGGAGGCGTGCTCAGGGTTCCGCTGCCAGCGCCACCTCTGCCTCGCACAGCTGCGCGCCTTCTTTGAGAAGGCGGCAGAGCCCCATGCCCAGGGCCTGCTGCTCTGTCCATGCAGGCCTGAAGATGTGAGCTGTGGCGAGCGCCGGCGGAACACCATCGCCCCCAGCTGCGCCCTCCCCTCTGTGGTCCCCAATTGCCTGGATCTTCGGAGCTTCTGCCGTGCGGACCCTCTGTGCAGGTGCCTGTGAGGGTGGGCAGGATGGGCAGGGATGTGGCACACCTCTCCGTCTGGGTCTGGCTATCCTGCGGAAGCCGCGTCTGATTCCCCAGACACCGGGAGCCCACTGACTCTTATCTTGGAGATTTTGTGACCCTCCCACCCCCCACTCTTCCTTCTTTCCTGTAGCCCAGGCTGTTCACTACATTATGTAGCCCAAGCTTTCCCCTGGATTTCCCGAGTGCAGGGGATTATAAGTCACCTCACCACTTCTGGCCTTGACCATTTTATTTTATTTTATTTTATTTTATTTTTTGAGACAAGATTTCATATAGCCCTGAATTCTTTTGATCTTCTTTCCTCTGCCTCCTAAATGTCTGGTCAACTTACTGGGTTCCAGACCAACCAGGGTAGCAAAGTAAGACCCTGGCTAAAAATAAAAAATAAAAAACAAAACAAACAAACCCCACATTTATTTACTTATTTGTTTATTTATTTATTTGGTGAGGTGAGGGAGGCAGGGTAGTCCTGCAACCTCAGGATTCAGAGTGCACTTGTGGAGGTCAAAGGTCAACTTCCACTGAGTCAGGTTGTGGAGAGATAGGAAGGAGCTCAGGTCTTCAGGCTTGCTAGTGAGTGATTTTATCTCATTGGCTCCAGAAACTCTTCTTTTCTCTCTCTCTCTCTCTCTCTCTCTCTCTCTTTTCTTTTCTTTTGTTTTTGTTGTTGTTGCTGTTTTTGTGAGACAGGATCTCTCTACAGGTCCTGGCTGTCCTGGAACTCACTAGGTAGACCAGGTTGTCCTTTGGGTTTAGAGATCTGCCTGCCTCTGCCTCTGGAGTGCTGGGAGGCCCTGGGATACCTGGTTAGCACCTGCAGTCCAGGTATTCCTACAACCAAGAGGCAGAGGTAGGAGGGGCCTCCAAGCTTCTGGACCAGGAAGGCGGCAGCTGCAAAACCAAGAGAGACTGTCCTAAGGCGTTAGTGGAAGGTGCGGAGTGCTCCCCATCCACAATCGATGGCTTCCTAACCATTCCCCGTGTAAATAAGGAAAACATTTCTAATTAAAAATTAAATAAAGAGATAAAATCCCAAGCCAGGCTAGTAGCTCATGCCTGAGGCCAAGGGAGACAGAGCAGAGATGGAAGAGCATTCTCGGATATATCCAGAACTTGAGGCCAGCATAGGCTACGGAAGACCTTGTCTTAGAAAAACAAAAATTAAAAATAAATCAAAATCAAGCTCTTAACGAGCGCTAGCATTCACCGAGCACTTGCCCCTCCCCACAAGGCTGAGCGCAGGTTAACTCCAACCAGAATCCCTTGAGATCTGTAGGCTATCCCAGCTTTTACAGAAAACTAGATAGAGCCTTGGAAGCCTGAGGCAGGAGGATGCTTGAATCCAGGATTTTAAGACCATCGTGAAAAACACAGTAAGACGGTTTCAAAAGATGAAAATTAAAAGTGTAGTGAGAATGTCGTTACAAAACCCATTATTACACATAATTAATATATGCTAATACAAAATTAAAAAAAGTTAAAACATCACTCAATATTCTGTAACTATTCTAGAAAGCATTCCCTGCCAGATTTTTCTATCCGGGCAACAAAACAGGCACATCTGTGTCTTTTTTTTTTTTTTCGAGACAGGGTTTCTCTGTGGTTTTGGAGCCTGTCCTGGAACTAGCTCTTGTAGACCAGGCTGGTCTCGAACTCACAGAGATCTGCCTGCCTCTGCCTTCCAAGTGCTGGGATTAAAGGCATGCGCCACCACCGCCCGTTTTTTTTTTTTTTTCACATCTGTGTCTTGAAGTCTTTCCTACACTATACACCGCTCACCACGAGTGATCTCCTGTGGAGGCAGGGTGAGCGTGGGTGAGACGTTTCAAACATGTAAGCTCAGGTCTGTGCTTAGCTGCTAGATCCGTCTCAGCTGTAAAGAGAAGCTTCACTTGCGGCTGTTGCAGGGGACCTGAATTCAGTTCCCACACGATGGCTCACAATCGCCTGTAACTCCAGTTCCGGGGCATCCAACTCCATGTTCTAGCCTCCATGGGCACCAGGCACACACATGCTGCACATACGTACACGCAGGCAAACTTCGTACATATAAATGATTTTTTTAAAAAGCTTTTACTTTGAGCTCTCAATAATAACACTAGCATTTCCAGCCACTTCTTATGGACTTGATACTGCTTTAAATACTTAGTATCTTCTTGTTTAAGTGGCAGGAAGCCTATAAGCTGGTTGCTGTGACTCTTTTGTATCGTCCTCAGTTTACAAATGAGCAAGCCGTAGTGGAAAGAAGCAGAATAGCATGCTCAAGGTCTACAGGGAGAGAGTCTGGCCTCTTTTTCTTATTCTTTTCTTTTTATTAAGATAGGATCTTTCTATGTAGGCTTGATTGGTCGGGGACTTCCTAGGTGGATCAGGCTAGTCTCAAACTCTCGGAGATTTGCCTGCCTCTGCCTCCTGGGAAAGGTGTACACTACCGTGTCAGGCAAAGGTCAGATTTCTAACTTGGCTTTGGAGGGCAGGAATATGACTTAGTCTCTAACCATTCTGTGTTCATGACGACTATCATTCTAGTAAACATTACTATCATCTCACACATTTTATTTATTTTTTTAAGGTTTATTTATTATGTACACAGTGGCCTACCTGTAGGCCAGAAGAGGGCACCAGCTTTCATTACAGATGATTATGAGCCATCATGTGGTTGCTGGGAATTGAATTCAGGACCTCTGGAAGAATAGCCAGTGCTCCTAACTGCTGAGCTATCTCTCCAGCCCCCTCACAAATTTTAAAACGAGTAAAATACTGGCCTTTAAGGAGTCCTAGCTGTGTAGAAGTAGTAGAGAAGTAAACAACCTAGCATGAAGTAAAATGTAGCACAAACTGAAGAAACATATACAGGACAAACTCACTTTTAGCACCTAAAAATGACTGGTATGTCAGGTGGTTTTGTTCTTTAAGGTTTTTTTATTTTGATTATATATATGTTTTATCTATCTGCATGTATGTACGTGTTCCGTGTACATATCAGGTACCCTGAGAGCCAGAAAAAGGCATCTGATCCTCTGGGACGGGAGTCACAGATAGTTGTGAGCCACCATGTGGGTGTTAAGAATCGAGCCCCTGTCCTCAAGAAAAGCAGCCAATGCTCTTGACTGCTGAGCCATCTTTCCAGCCCTGGGGATTGCATTTTATCTCAGTAATTGATGTGATCGGATCAACCATTGTGAGTGTAGCTGTTCCCAGCGCTTAGGGTCCTGAGCTGTATAAAAAGAATGTGAACTAAATACCAGCGTGCATGCATTTTCTCCCCCCTCTGCACTGTGGACGTGAGTGGCCACTTCAAGTTCCCGCTGCCATGGCTTCCCTGCTCCGTTGAACTGTGACCTGGAACTGTGAACTAAAATAAAACCCCAAATTTTACCGCAGCAACACAGAGAGAAACTGAGAGGGCCGTCTTCCCTAATGTAGGATGGATGCTAATAACCAGAGTGTCTGGCGTTGGCTAAGCACGGAATGTGCGCCAGGCACTATGCTGAATGCATCCTCCTGTTCGTCTCCTTAAAGTCGGCCTGCTTCGGCTGTTGTCCTCTCTGACTGACAGTCAAGGAAACCCCAAAGGTCGTGTAGCCAGGGACTGTGGAGCTCACGTTCACTGTGATGGGCTGTGGGGCCTCGGGGGTGGTGACTGGATGGTGCATGTAGGGCTGAAGGAGAAGAGGAGCTGGCGTGAAGACAGGCGTGGCCAGCTGAGGACAGCGAGAGTGAAGTCTGGGTCCTCAGTGGGGGTCCTGGGTTCCTTTCTTTCAGATCGCGCCTGCTGGATTTCCAGACCCATTGCCATCCTATGGACGTCCTTGGGACTTGTGCCACGGAGCAATCCCGATGTCTGCGGGCTTACCTGGGGCTGATTGGTGAGGCTGGAGCATACGTAGGGAATCAATAGAGTAGCCAGCTCCGAGGTGTGAATACACTGGAGACAGCGCCCGGGATGGCGCTGAGGTCCTGGGACAGGCGGAAGAAGATGGAGGCTGGAGTTGGAGTTTATCCCTTCCTCTCTTCGCCCAACAGGGACTGCTATGACCCCAAACTTCATCAGCAAGGTCAATGCTAGTGTTGCCCTAAGCTGCACCTGCCGAGGCAGTGGCAACCTGCAGGAAGAGTGTGAGCAGCTGGAAAGGTCCTTCTCCCAGAACCCCTGCCTCAGTGCGTAAGCCCCTCTTACCGCCAGCCCCTGTGACTGTTGGGGGGGGGGGGAGGTCCTGTCCATCTCTCTAGTCAGAGCATCCTCTTCTGGGCTCAGCCCTTCATCCCTCCAACCTGAACCTTTCTTCCTTTTCCCACTCCTCCCACTCCCAGAGTGGCCTCCATGCTGCCTGTTCAACTTGTCTAGGCCCCGAGATGAACAAGTCAGAATTCCACTTCCTACCCACCTGCCCACTGTACCCCAGGGGCCCCCGGCATTCCCTTTCTTGCCTTGGGAGTCTGAGGAACTTCCTGGCACCTTGCTCCAATCTACTTTTCCTCCTGTACTTAGTGGAGGCCATTGCAGCTAAGATGAGTTTCCACAGACGACTGTTTGCCCAGGACCCGGTGGACGACCCTACCTCTTCTGTGATACAGCAGCCGGTAGGACCCCCTCGGTCACATACCTCACGGATTTTACCGCACTAGTTGGAGAAAATGCAAATCAGTCAGACAAAGGGACAAGGTGGGAGAGACACCATGATACAGACCTCTAATAATATAGCCCTCCAACGCACACATCATGTGACTGAGGCTTAGGTGTTGAAGCGAGATGTCCTCTGGGCTGACTCTATTCCATTTCTTCCACAGAAAAATAACACTGCTCCAAGACCACAGCCCAGGCTACCTGTTCTTTCTATCTTCATACTTACCTTGCTTCTACTTCAGACCCTCTGGTAGCTGGTCATCCTCAGGGTCTTTTGTTCTTTCCGCCGCACCCAGACTGACTTGCGCCTGTTATGGGTGAGAAACTGACAGCCTCCGGAAGAAGATGCAGTGTGCAACACCGTAACCTTGGACCAAGCAGGCGTCTCGCCTAGCACGTCCTGTCTGCTCCAGATGAGGGCCTGGGAGAAGCTAGGGGCTATGACCTTCAGACCCTGACTGGCTAGTTCTCAAACCTCCCTGACCTCTTCTTCTATCTCAGGCTGTCCCTCCTTAGGACTTTTGTCACCGCTGTTTTGGCCATATATTCTGGTGGCGATTTGCTTCCCCACCCCCATCCCTTCTTCCTCTTTCCCAGGATTGCCCAGAGCCTAACAAGTCAGCCATTCCCTGTTCCATTCTTTAGGAAGGCAGGGCTGAGGGTTCTGAGGCAGCTGAAAAAGACGCTCCCTTTGTGAGGAAGGCTGGTGTTCCTGGCCCCTCATCCCCTCTGAATGGAAGTGAGAAATTGCTGTCTTCACTGCTCTGACGTGCAATCCTGAACATTTGGGCATCAGGAGCTGAGGCCTTTGGGTCTTGCTTAACTCCTATGACTGTCCTCAAGTCCCCCAGCCCCTTGGATCATGATTAAACATTTTGACCTAAAACTAAATCTTTTCCCATTTTCTTAAACTGTGAGTTTACACAAGATTAGTGGCATGCCTCAGTCACAAGGGCACTGAGCAGATGATGGGGAGACCAGCCTCCCTCCTGGCTGCTGACGGCTGTGAGCCTTCAGGCAGCTCTCTCAGCCGCCCTTGCCACAGAGTTAGAATAAAAATAGTAAATAAAAATAAAAGATGGTCTCCATCCCAACTCTAGGATTCTGGGACCTGCCTAGAATCTACCACTGAGGCCCCCAGTCAGCCGCAGCATTGATTGAACCCTTGTCTGATGAGCTGCTCCAGATCACGACAGGCCCAGAAGAAAGCAGAGGCTGATCCTTGCTCTCGGGGAATCTAGTCCTACAGGAGTAAGGAAGCGTCCTTCCCGAGCAGAGGAGTTGGAAGAATGTATTTATAGAGCTGTGGGTGTTTGCTCATTCATTCCTTCTTTCTTTCCGAGGCCGGCTAGTCAGTTCTGTCTCCGTGAGACACTGGGGTAGACGGAAGAGGGGCTGAGGAAGCCAGGCTCAGACACTATTCCAAGTCTTTTCTCATACCAGAGTAGAGATGCCGAGAAGACAGTCAGTGATATTGGAACACAGCAGTGTGGTAAATGCAGCAGAAAATGCTAACAACCCTCATTTCTTGAGCTTACGCTGTGCGCCAGCTACTGTCTAATACACACTGTTTTCAGGAACACACATTGATTCATTTAGGCCTCTGTTGTAGCTTAAAATAATTTTTTAGATTTACTTTTTTATTTTATGTTTGTGAGTGTTATGTACCACATGCGTGCCCAGTGCCCACAGAAAAGGGCACCCTGGGACAGGAGTTACAGAAGGTGATAACCACCGTATGGGTGCTGGGAACCATACCCAGGTTCTCTGCAAGGCCAACAAGTGATCTTAACTGCTGAGCCATCTTTCCAACTCCTCCACCTGTGCTGTGGTTTAAATGTGAGGTGTCCCCCCACCATAAGTCTACAGCTATCTTAGCTTATACATACTTAATTTCTGAAATGTCACTCATAAACTCATAGAGTTTTTTTTATTTTGTTTTATTTCATTGGTTTGTTTAGACAGTTTCTCTGTGTAGTCCTGGCTGTTCTGGAATTTGATCAGTAAACCAGGCTGGCCTTGAACTCTGAGAGACACTCCCCAGCCTCTGTCTCCCAAGTGTTGAGATTTGTTTGTTTTTGAGACTGGGTCTCCGGTGATTTGAATAAGAATGGCCCCCCCCCCCCAGGCTCATGCTTGGTCTCCAGTTGATGGAACTGTTTGGGAAGGATCAGGAGGTGTGTCACTGGGGGTGGGTTTTGAGCTTTGATAGCTCACTCCAATTCCAACTAGCTATCTCTGCCTTCTGCTTGTGGATCAAATGTAAGCTCTTGGCTACTGCTTCATTGCTGTGGCCATGCCCCATGCCATGGTGGTCATGTGCTCACCCTCTGAAACTGTAAACAAAACTCAATAAACTCTCTCTTCTATAAATTGCCTTAGTCATGGTGTCTTTTTTTTTTATTGATATTTATTGACCTCTACATTTTTCTCTGCTCCCCTCCCTGCCTCTCCCCTCCCCGCTTCAATCCTTCCCCAAGGTCCCCAGTCATGGTGTCTTATCTCAGCAATAGAGAAACATCTAAGACAGCATCTCATAGAGTTCAGGAGTCCTCAAACTTGCCATATAGCTGAGAATGACCTGGTCCTCCTGCCTCTACCCCCCCCCCCCCAAGTGCTGGGATTATTGGCATTCACAACTATGTCCAGCAGTTTTTGTTTTATTTTGTTTGAGACAAAATCTTACACTGTAGCTCAGGCTGGTCTGAAACTCACTGTGTAACCCTGATTGGCAGTGAAGTCCTAACAATCCTGATTCAACCTTCTGAGTGCTAAGATTACAGATGTTGGTCACCATGCATGGCTTCCCTTCCTTCCTTCCTTCCTTCCTTCCTTCCTCTCCCCCCTTCCTTTTCTTTCTTTTTATGGTGCAGCTTGGAATCCAGCTCAGGACCTGTATACACGAGGTCAAGAATTCTGCCACTCGGGTAGTTCTCAGTACTCTGCCACCCCGCTTCCTTTTTTGGAAACAGGGACTTTCCATTTAGCATGAAGTCCCGGCTGGCCCTTGCTATGTAGCCCAGGTTGACCTTCAGCTTGTGGCGATCTTTCTCTTGTCTTATGAAGTTCTAGAGCTTTTGAGAGGTGAGGCTAACTGGAAGTTTTGTTGTTGTTGTTGTTGTTGTTGTTTTGTTTTGTTTTTCAAGACAGGGTTTCTCCATGTAGCTCTGGCTGTCCTGGAACTTACTCTGTAGACTAGGCTGGGCTTGACTCACAGAGATCCACCTGCTTCTGCCTCCCAAATGCTGGGATTAAAGGTGCGTGCCACCACGGCCCGGCTGGGTATGTTTTGATATGTGTGTGGAGGTGCACATCCAAGTGTAAGTCACAGACACTGCAGCAACTGTGAATGGAGCCTGAGCTGCGCCTGCTCCTCTTTGCTGCACATCGTGGACTTGTATGGTATATGCACAGCTATTCAACCAGTTCTGAACTCATGGATATTTGATTGTGTTTTATTTTTTATTTTTCGTATGTGAGCCAATAAACATGCTATGGTATATGTGTAGGGGTCAGAGGACAATTTGAAGGAGACATTTCTCACCTTTTAAAAACTTCATTTAACTTTATTTTATGTGTTTTTTATATAAAGGTATCAGATTCCCTGGAGCTGGAGTTACAGACAGTTGTTAGCTGCCATGTGGGTGCTGGGAATTGATCCCAGGTTCTCTGGAAGAACAGTCAATGCTCTTAACCGCTGAGCCATCTCTCCAGCCCCAACTTCTCACTTTTTATGTGGGTCCCAGAGTTCAAATTCAGGTGCTCAGGCTTGGTAGCAAGCACCTCCACCCAATGAGCTATGTGTTTGTTTGGTTTTCGAGATAGGGTCTTCTGTAGCCAAGGTTTATCTCCAACTTGATGTGTATTTGGTGATGTGAGAATGATCTTCAACTTCTGATCCTTCTATCCCTACTTAGTTAATCTTTTATTGCCAATAAACAATATCACAGATCTGGTAAATAATAAGGGAAAAGAGGTTTCTTTGGGCACAGTGGCACAATCTGTAATCCCAGCTACCAGGAAGCTGAGTCAAAAAGATCATGGGTTTAACAGCAAGATTCCCTGTTCGCTAAAAGGTGGTTTATTTGGTTTGCTTCTGGATTAAGATCAAGGGGCTCTCTCTGGCTCTGGCTTTGCTGGAAGAATCTCTCTCTCTCTCTCTCTCTCTCTCTCTCTCTCTCTCTCTCTCTTTCTGACACCAGTATCCAATCAAGGAGGCACATCCTTGATTATCTTTATCTGATCACTTCTCAAAGGTCTCACCTCTAAATACCAAAGTTGGATGTGTGAGACAGAGTCTCACGATGCAGCGCTGGCTGGTCTGGAACTCATTATAGAGACCAGGCTGGCCTCCAACTCACAGAGCTCCTCTGCCTTCTGATGGGGATGGGTGTACACCACTATGTACAGCCTCCAGTGGGGACTGAACTCCAGCAAAGCTTTCTGTGGAGACAAATCAGTTCACACCAGAATGCTTTCCATTTTCCTCTGATCTAAGGCTTTGTGTGTGTGTGTGTGTGTGTGTGTGTGTGTGTGTGTGTTATGATGAAGACTGAACTGAGCTCCTCACACAAGTGCTCTGCCACTCGGGTATGTCCCCAGACGCTGCTTTTGTTGTTTGTTTATGAGTATTTTGCCTGTGTGTGTTTGTGCATCACATGCACACCTGGTGCACACACACATACACACACACAGACACATACACACACACAGACACATACACACACTGCTGCCAGAGTGGTGGGTGGAATAGGCAAGCCTCTCCCTTCATATTCTTGTATCCTCATAGCCTGCCTAGCCCAGGAAATGCTCAGCCAAGCTGCCTCCCAGCAAACTCCAGCGGGGGCTCAGGGTCTACCCGCCTTCCCTCTTTCTCTCCTCCCGGGGAGAATTCTGAGTATCCGAGGCTCAGATGCTTTGGCTCCATTAGCCCGGGCCTGGGGGTGTGAATGGTACAGTCATTCCTTGCTAAGTGCTTGAATTAGACTAATAGGTCATCTGTGCTTTTCTCTGAAGAAGGTCCAAATTCCTGGTAAACAACTAGATACTCTCCCAGCCCACAGTCCAGGGCCAAGATCAGGTGGAGGCACGGTGGCTGGGCTGGAGCTCTTCATGGTGTCGTGGCTGGGATGGTTAATGTCATTAGACTAGTTTCTGTGAAGCCCAGTGCAACGGGCTCTGGGAGCAGAGGGCTGAAGGACAGTCTTGGGACAGCAGAATTTTGTGCTTGTTTGTTTGTTTTGTTTTGAGACAGGGTCTCACTATGTAGCTCTGGATGGCCTCAAACTTACAAAGATCCACCTGCATCTGCCTCTCAAGTGCCAGAATAAAGGTATGTGCCACCATGCCTGGCTTCCATCTTATTTTTCGAGATAGGGTCTCTTACTGGACCTAGAGCTCACTGATTCACCAAGACGACCTAGGCAGCAGGTTTCAGGGGTCCTCCTGTCTCCAACCCACCCATGCATGGCTAGAGCTGCCATACCTAACTTTTTTTTTTTTAATGTGGACATTGGGGATCCAAATCCAGGTCCTTATGCGTGTGCAGTGAGTACTTCCCAAATTGATCTCTCATCCCAGCTCCCCAACTTGGTTGTTTTAAAGGTTGGAATATATTATTATAATACTTTACATAGTGTAACATGAGGGGGCTTGCTTGTTGTGGTTTCTGTCCCACCTGGTACCCTACAGCCGGCAAGTTCCAAAGAAAATCACACAGAGATCTCCATAAGTTATAAAACTGATTGGCCCATTAGCTCAGGCTACTTATTAGCTCTTGTAGCTTATATTAACCCATTATTCTTATCTATGTTGGCCACATGGCTCGGTACCTTTCAGCTGGGCAGGTTACATCTTGCTTCTCGGTGGTCTGGGCTGGAATGGGGGAAGTGCTTCCTTCTTCCCAGAATCTTCCTGTTCTCCTTGCCCCGCCTCTACTTCCTGTCTGGTTTTCCTGACTAAGTTTCCTGCCTGGCCAATCAGCATTTATTTAAAACATGATTGACAGAATACAGACAATTCTCCTGCACCAACATAGTGCCCCCTACAGGATGATTACTGGGTAAATGACAGCCACTGTTATTGTTGCTTCTGGGAGAGACCTCTGTGGGCACCATGGCTTCTGTTCTAGGACCTGAACCAGCACTAAGATGGTGTTGATGACTCTTCCACTAATTGTTCCCAGGTTCTGTGTGGAGCAGCCTTAGGACATCCTTTCAAAAGCTGAACTCCAGGCTGAAAACCAAAAGGCTGAGTTTGCTCCTCAGATCCCAAGGGACCTTGGACAATTCGTGAAAGCAGAGGTAGCATCTTTGTCAGTAGGCTTTTGACTCCAAGTAACAGAATTACTTGAATTACTTAGTACAAGGGTAACTAACCGTTATGTAATGCAGTTCCAGGAAGTTCAAACAGGCTTTAAGGAGGCCGACCCAGTGAGTCAGGAGCCAGGGGCATCCTCAATTATTTTCCACTTTTTGTATACTAATTTTCTCTACATGAGGAAATCTGGGTTCATGGTCAAGACTGGTGCTTTTGGATAGGGGTAGTACCAGGCGCAGAAAACAGAGAAGTTGCTGTTGGCTTGCTAGATTTCTGGTCTTGACTGTTGAAGAATAGGGCAGAGTGAATGTGTTATCCACAAATTAAGTTTATTTTCACATTGAGCTGAAGGCAATGAGAACCGACAGAAATGGTAAGAGTTTTCTATCATTGTGTGTTTGTTTTGTTTTGAGGGCAGGTTTCTTTTTGTAGCCGTGGGTGTCCTGGAACTCGCTCTGTAGACCATTTTGGCCTCGAACTCACAGAGATCCATCTCCCTCTTGCCTCCTGAGTGCTGGGATTAAAGGCATGTGCCATCACCTCTGTCTTTTATCTTCTGAAGACTAAGGCATAAATTTGCAATCCAGGAAGGGGCCTTCACTGTGGCAGAGTGACAAAGCTGCCGTTCTATTCCCCTTGAGGTTTTTGCAACAAGGTCTCATGTAGACCAGGCTGATCTCAGACTTGCTATGTAGTGGAGAATGATCTGGAACTCCAACTC